ACATTGATGGTAGGGGGGAAACTACATGGATGGATGATGGAGGGGGACTGGATGGATGGATGGTGGAGGGGGACTGGATGGATGGATGGTGGAGGGGGACTGGATGGATGGATGGTGGGGGGACCAGAGGGCTGGCAGGTGAGTGGGATGGGGAGGCTGGTGGGGCATGGGATGGGAAAAAAATCTATCAGAAACATCAGTCCTAGAATCATGTATGGGAAGAACACGTGGAGGGTGAGTGTGTGGGCAGGTGAAAGTGAGTGCATGGATGGATGAGTAGCAGGGCGGGCGGCAAAGTGGATGGATAGGCAGTGGTCGGGTAGATGGCAGACTAAGGTAGTGGGTGGCTGATGGTAGACTAAGGTGGTGGGTGGCTGATTGTAGACTAAGGTAGTGGGTGGCAGATGGCAGACTAAGGTAGTGGGTGGCTGATGGTAGACTAAGGTGGTGGGTGGCTGATGGTAGACTAAGGTGATGGGTGACTGATGGTAGACTATGGTGGTGGGTGGTTGATGGTAGACTAAGGTGGGTGGCTGATGGTAGACTAAGGTGGTGGGTGGCTGATGGTAGACTAAGGTGGTGGGTGGCTGATGGTAGACTAAGGTAGTGGGTGGCTGATGGTAGACTAAGGTGGGTGGCTGATGGTAGACTAAGGTGGTGGGTGGCTGATGGTAGACTAAGGTGGTGGGTGACTGATGGTAGACTAAGGTGGTGGGTGGCTGATGGTAGACTAAGGTGGTGGGTGGCTGATGGTAGACTAAGGTGGTGGGTGGCTGATGGTAGACTAAGGTAGTGGGTGGCTGATGGTAGACTAAGGTGGTGGGTGGCTGATGGTAGACTAAGGAGGTGGGTGGCTGATGGTAGACTAAGGTGGTGGGTGGCAGATGGCAGACTAAGGTGGTGGGTGGCTGATGGTAGACTAAGGAGGTGGGTGGCTGATGGTAGACTAAGGTGGTGGGTGGCAGATGGCAGACTAAGGTGGTGGGTGGCTGATGGTAGACTAAGGTGGTAGACTAAGGTGGTGGGTGGCTGATGGTAGTCTAAGGTGGTGGGTGGCTGATGGTAGACTAAGGTGGTGGGTGGCTGATGGTAGACTAAGGTGGTGGGTGGCTGATGGTAGACTAAGGAGGTGGGTGGCTGATGGTAGACTAAGGTGGTGGGTGGCTGATGGTAGACTAAGGTGGTGGGTGGCTGATGGTAGACCAAGGTGGTGGGTGGCTGATGGTAGACTAAGGTGGTGGGTGGCTGATGGTAGACTAAGGTGGTGGGTGACTGATGGTAGACTAAGGTGGTGGGTGGCTGATGGTAGACTAAGGTGGTGGGTGGCTGATGGTAGACTAAGGTGGTGGGTGGCTGATGGTAGACTAAGGTGGTGGGTGGCTGATGGTAGACTAAGGCGGTGGGTGGCTGATGGTAGACTAAGGTGGTGGGTGGCTGATGGTAGACTAAGGTGGTGGGTGGCTGATGGCAGACTAAGGTAGTGGGTGGCTGATGGTAGACTAAGGTGGGTGGCTGATGGTAGACTAAGGAGGTGGGTGGCTGATGGTAGACTAAGGTGGTGGGTGACTGATGGTAGACTAAGGTGGTGGGTGGCTGGGTAGGTACAGAGTGGTTGGGTGGGCAGATGAGTAGCAGGACGGGTGGCGGAGTAGGTGGGCAGTAGAGGCGACGGCGTGAGTGGCTGAGCTTCCAACTAGGACTAACACAGCAGGCCAATCCTGGAGTATGCGGCCTCAGCATGGAGCCCGTATCTAGTCAAGCACAAGACGAAGCTGGAAAAAGTTCAGAGGTATGCCACTAGGCTAGTCCCAGAACTAAGAGGCATGAGTTATGAGGACAGACTATGTGAACTGCACCTCATGTCGCTGGAAGACAGAAGAGCTAGGGAAGACATGATCACCACATACCAAATTCTCAGGGGAACTGACAGGGTTATCTTCTTGAGGTTATCTTGAGATGATTTCGGGGCTTAGTGTTCCCTGTGGCTCGGTCCTCGACCAGGCCTCCACCCCCAGGAAGCAGCCCATGACAGCTGACTAACTCCTAGGTACTTATTTACTGCTAGGTAACAGGGGCATCATGGATGAAAGAAACTCTGCCCATTGTTTCTCGCCGGCGCCCGGAATCGAACCCGAACCACAGGATCACGCATCCAGTGTTCTGTCCGCTCAGTCACCGGCTCAGTCACCGGGTGGAAAAGGATGGATTATTTAACACGGGTGGTACACACACATGGGGACACAGGTGGAAGCTGAGTACTCAAATGAGCCACAGAGACATTAGAAAGAACTTTTTCAGTGTCAGAGTAGTTAATAAATGGAATGCACTAGGAAGTGATGTGGTGGAGGGAGATTCCATACACAGTTTCAAATGTAGATATATATACTCAAATCTCTGAATATGTTAGACATTAAGTCACTGCACATTCTCTCATGTGTATTATACATATATAAAACGCTAAACTGTAATGCCAATCCTGACCTCAAAAGCTTCATAGAAGGTTGTAACAGAACCCATGAGCACCACACCAGAAATAAATACAGTTTTGATATTCCTAGAGTACGACTTAATCAAACTAGAAATGCTCTACAAATCAAGGGACCCAGAATGTGGAATGACCTTCCCAACCATGTTAAAGACTGTACCTCTCTCAACCAGTTAAAGATAAAAACGAAGCTATACCTAATAAATTCCCTGTAACCTACCTTACCCCTCTATTGTCAACCAATGTCTGTTTTTTTTAAAGAATGCCGTTTGTCGACAGAATTGTATTTGTGCTGCTTTTTCAGCTATGTTTTCATTCCATGTTTTCATTTTATTCTTTATGCTCAATTAGTATTAAGCTTTAGTCATTTAAGTTTTTCATGCCCGAAACGCTTTGCGTAATAGTGGCTTTAGGCATTGTATGTACTAGCCCTATCTATAAATCCATCAATCTTTGTAAAATCTCTTGTATGTATGTACCTTACCTAAATAAACATTTGATTTGATTTGATTTGATATGACAGAGCCCAGTAGGCTCAGGAATCTGTACATCAGTTGATTGACGGTTGAGAGGCGGGACTAAAGAGCCAATGCTCAACCCCCACAACCACAACTAGGCGAGTACAACTAGGTGACTACAGCAGCTGGTCACACCCGGTCCCTCCCCAAGACCCCCCCATCCCATACACTGGACCCTCCCCACTACCTCCACCCCCACCCAGCACCCTCCCCACTACCTCCACCCCCACCCAACACCCTCCCCACTACCTCCACCCCCACCCAGCAACCCTCCCCACTACCTCTATCTCCTTAATCCCCCACACCAGACCCCCCACACCGTTCCCCCCCCCCCACTGGACCCCTCCCAGCCATATGGACGGTATTAATACAGTGGGCTTTCTTGCTACCAGCTGTTGGATCGGGAGGCAGACTCCCTGAGCGCCTGTCATTAAACTCTCTTTGTTTACTAACATGTGGTTGTAAGTGTAAAAGCCTGAGTGACTCTGAAAGCCTTGATTGATTGTGAATGCCTGATTGACTGTGAATGCATGACTGACTGTGAATGCCTAACCGGTTGCTACCACAATTGTGAATGCTTGACTGCCTTTGGTTATGACTGCCTATGACTGGTCTTGACTGACATGTTAATTGCGACTGACTGGCTGCCACATAACAGAGGCAGTGAAATGTGTGAAAAGACAATCTGGAACCAGTGATGCAGATATGAAAGCATTGAAGGCAAGCAGGGGAGGGTCTCACCACCCCCCCTCTACTCCTCACCCTCCCCATACACCAACACTGCTCCTCCCTCCCTCCTTCCTCACTGTCTCCCGTACACCAACACTGCTCCTCCCTCCCTCCCTCCTCACCATCTCCCATACACCAACAAGTCTTCAGTAAAGGTAAAGTGCAGTTAAATGTTCACTTATTTTATTTATGATTTATATTTATACCTGATTGTTTTGTGTATAAAAAATATATGTAGTATTCTGTATAAAATGTATTTTTAAGTTAATATTTTTGGATGTGTGTGGAATGGATTAATTCAATTTACATTATTTCTTATATGAAAATTCATTTCAGTTTATGAATTTTCGGTTTGTGGGAATGGATTAAATCATCTCTGGGAATTGATTAAATTAAAAAAACCAGTCTTAGTCTTAGTGTTTTTCCTGTCCGAAACTCTTTGCGTAATAGTGGCTTTAGGCATTGTATGTACTAGCTCTATCTAAAAATTCATCAACTTTTGTATCTTACCTTGTATGTATGTACCTTACCTGAATAAAAATTTATTTATTTATTTATTATTATTTACTTATTTTTATTAGAAATCAACAACTACTGTACATGAGATCCTTCCTCTCTCTTGCCCTGTTTCTAATAACTGGAGAAATAAAAGATGCATTGAGTAAGGGAAGCATAGCAATGGTCAGATGTGCAGCCCAGGTGCTGATGCTTATTCCACACAAATACATCATCCACAGTAGATGAATACAAATACAATATGTATGCATGCATGAACAAATACATTACAAATATAAAAGAATTCTTAAACAAAACATTCATAAAAAACTGGTGACGTCAGACCATGGGTTCCAAAAATAAAATGTTGACAGATGCAAAATAGACGACCTGAAGGACAAGGGGACAATGCACAATGGATGGTGAGCGGCCAACACGGGGCCAAGTCACGGGTCTTACTTGACCTTCTGGGAATGGAGCTCAAGGTGGAAAAAAATCTTCAAAGTGTAACTAATTTTTGTCAATACTTTTATCATTAATATTTACTTTTCTACTCAGAAGTCTGGGTTTTTAACCTCAACACAGAAACCTAAAAGTCACATTTCAATTAGATTTATTATATGTATTTACCAAGTTTTTCAACATACTGTACTATACTACTTCTGAAAACACATTTTACTTACAATATTTTACTTCCAAACGTTGTGGCAAAATGTTTCAGAGTGATGAAGTATTCTCTCACAAACACTAGAGTTCAAAGTAGGCTAACTTACTTTGTGGTTTCCTGAGTCATCTGAGGGTGGATAAGGGAGCTCTGAAACAAGCCTCCGCCACAGCTTCGACTACAGCTGCTGAGGGATACAGAGTCCTCAGCTTCACTACAGCTAAAGTCCAGCACTCCATCTGCAAATACAAATGTCCTTGACAACAAAACATTACAATACATGTTATAATGTACATTTACCTCACACAAAATTTATGGTTTTGATATTCAAGAATTATAATTATTAATAGAAGTCAGCAAATAGAGTTTGTTAAAAGTATGCCAGAGACAGTTTTCTTCTTTAACCCATGGTACCTAAGTTGCATCACCCAATAATAATAATAATAATATTTATTCAGGTAAAAGCAAATGTCAATATATGTAGCAACCTGCAATGTATCCCTACACCATTTTTATGAGCCACAAATTATAATATCTACAGTATAGCCTCAATAATTTAATCAAGCTTTCATAAGCTGACAATTGAACAATATTTATACACGTAACCTGATTTACCTTCATTGATGAAAGTGGGATTAAAAATGGAAAAATGATCTGGTGCTGTTTAGTAAAGTTTTTTTTTGCTATTGTAAATGCTTGAAAAATATCATTTGTTCATAGGAATAAACATTACCTTTTAAAACCACATAACCAAAATCTAAGTACTGTAGTTAAGACCATCTGCTATTGCTGCAATCATTCACCTCAAACTGTCTATTCAAGCATGACAAATATATCAGGAGGGTGCAATATTTTACAAGTCTAACAACCCTTCATATTTCTGTGTACATAAAATATCATACATATTAACAGTTCAACTGTGGTTTATCTAACATTGTCATTCCTACACATAACCAAACCATCTGCCTCACTTCTGCCTAACTCTTTACAAAACCACTAAGTCAAACTTAAGATTTATGTACAAAATCTAACCAAAAAACAATGTAATCAGACCTTGACCTATGTACCAAACTGTTTTCACTCTACAATTCATTATAAACAAACCCCCAATATACTATGTACTCAGTACTGTCAATAGTTAATTATTACAAATTTATTAATACAGCATTCAAATTCTGAGAGATTACAGAGTTGAGCTTGTGCTTATAGCAGATATAAGCTGCTAATTCCTCCAAAGATAACAGACACTTAGATGGTGGTGCTTGCTTCATCATTATCGTGGTGAGGATGATGATATTGTTTAGTGATAAACATGATTTCATGATGACATCATCAAAGCAAATGGAGGGACCTTCGACAAGCCGCCAGCATCTTGTTCTCATTGAGGCCACTAGGGTTAGTGGCCCTCAGGTAAATCCAGTAAAAATCAGGTAACTCAGGTAAATAATGATAAGTGATGATGGTAAGATTGATAATGAAGGTAAGTGTAATGAAGTGATTGTCACATGATTTTTATGCTAAGAATAATGATGGTAGTTATGGTGGATGTGTTAATAATGATGATTGTAACAAGTGGTGGTGTGTTAATGGTAGTTTTGGCAATGGTGTCGTGATGGAAGATGTGGTGGTGCACAAAAGGTGGTGATCTTCTCGAGAGGTTATCTTGAGATGATTTCGGGGCTTAGCGTCCTCACGGCCCGGCTCTCGACAAGGTCTCCTTTTGGTTACGCAGCCCGTAGCAGCTGTCTAACTACCAAGTATCTATTTACTTACAGGTGAACAGGAGCAACAGGGTGAAAGAAACTCTACCCATTTGTTTCTGCCTCCGCCGGGGATCGAACCTAGAACCTTAGGACTACGCATCCCAAGTACTATCCCCTTGGCCATCAGGCCCCCTAGTGCTTAGTGATAGTGCTTTAGTAGTAACAGTGATGGTGGTGGTGGTGGTAGAAATGGTGACCTGTAGGTTGTTTTGCGAGTGATGGTTGCAGTGATAGTGATGAGGACAATTAAAGGGATGATGATAATGAGTACAATAAGTACTGTAAATTTCTCATCACAGATATAACAACATAGGATAAAAAAACCACACTTATGTATTTATTTTATATAAAGATTCTAAATATTTTACTTAAAATACATAAATACATAAGTGTGTTTTTTTATCAAATGAGTAGAATGTTAGTGATATTGATAATGATAATAATTGTGGTGGTGATAATGATAGTGATTATGGTGGTGAATTGTGATGCACATTATGAGCAGTAAACAATTATTAAGGTGAGATGCCAGAAATCAACCCTAGTGTGTCAGCCTCACTCACCTTCACTTGGACAGTTGTATCGCTCAAAATACCCTGTTAAATGAACTCGCTCATAATGTGAGCTCTCTGAAGTGTGCACTGATCCACGCTTCAGGTGTATTGCAACTGTATATTTTTCTGAAAATGGAAATACTGTACAGGTCACATGCCGTAAATCAAGTTAAAATACATTCCCGTTATTAATAGTGCCTTAAGTCACTCAAAAAAACTATAGCCTATACCACAATACTTTCTGAATGCTGAAGCAACTTAAAATCAAACAATAGCCCAGTTTTATCTATTCTAACAAAACATTAACTGCCACTTCCATTAATATTTTGCCCCTGTGAGCAAGGTTCTCTCCTAAAATATCCCAGCCCATTCTCTCGAGTGTTCCCAACTTCACTAAACTATTATACTAAATTGCCCAAACCTAACCTAACCGAGTATCCATGGACAGAAACCAGGACATCACATCAATTTTGCGAGCTGCTATGATTTTTAGTACAGTGGAACCCCGGGTTACGAGCATCCCTGTTTACGAGTTTTTCGGGTTATGAGCCCGATTTGTTCGGAAAATTTGCATCGGGATACGAGCATTGCATCGGGTACCGAGTTTGTTGATACGCGTACAGGCCGACCTAGCGCGTGGTGGCATGGCGATCGCGCCTCAGTTTACCAGTGCATCGCGCCCAGTGACTATCCCGCCTGAATTCTTCACAAGGATTTATAGATTTTTGTCAGATTTTTGGCCATTTGAGCATAAAAGTTGTTATTATATATCTCGCCATGGGTCCCAAGAAAGCCAGTGGTAAGGCTCAACCTAAAAAAATAGTTGTGAGTAGAGGCAATAGAGGATGTCCCTTCCTCATTAAGAAAATGTGTGAAGTATGGGAAGAACTGCAAAGTGTTGTTGAAAAAACTCACCCAAATAAAACTGTAGCAGGCTGATGCATTGACCTTTTAAATGATAATGTTATGTCTTACTATAGACAAGTATTGCAAAGAAGGGAAAAACAATCTTCAAGGGATCGTTTCGTTGTGAAAAAATCAAGCAGTGAGCCACAACCAGGACCTAGTGGTATGCAGGCAAAATGTGCCAGAGAGTGCACCCCAGAAAAATCTTCATTGCCTGATGTTATAATGGAAGGGAACTCCCCTTCCAAACAGTAACACCTCTCCTCCTCCTCCCCTTTCCTCACCATCTTCCATACGCCAACAGTAGTCATCAGCAAGGGTAAGTAATAACTTGCACATACTTTTGTAGCGTAAATTTGGATGAATTAGGTGTAAAATTTAGTTTGAAATGAGGTTTTTTGGTACAGTAGTCAGGAACGGATTAATTCATTTCCCATTATGTCTTATGGGGAAATTAGCTTCGGTTTACGAGTTTTCGGGTTACGAGCTGTCTCCAGAAACGGATTAAACTCTTAAACGGAGGTACCCCTGGTATACCGTATCAGTTTTTACCCTTTAAAGATTTCTAAGTCAAAATGAGATGTACTATTCAAGAGGACGGTTGACTATCATCACTGGGTAAAACCCACTATATTACCTAGTTATATCCAATCACTTTCTCTGAACCAGCTGAACAAACATGGTTCCAACTTATGCATCTGTTCAACAGTTTTTATATTGATTATAAACAAAGCAATACTTCCATCAAATCTTTCATTACTCAATACTGTATTTAATGTTCTAAAATATCCTTAACAAATTCTTAAGCATACCAAGTACAATACTTAAATTTAAAGGTAAAAATTATTGTACTGTACAGAGGAACCTCGGGTGATGAGCAGCGCTCCATCTATGAGCATTTCAGGTAACGAACGAGCCAAATGCAGAAAATTTGTCTCGATTGACGAGCTTCCACTCGGTTAACGAGAAAATCATGTGGTGCTTCCTAGCGTTCCTGCCGTTTCTCACAAATTCTCAGATGCCTCCGACGACAATCTTGTTGTTTTATCGCACAGGATAAGCATTCCTCTGCATTTATTTGTGCATTTTTTTGTGGTTTTGTGACTACAATTTGTAGTCACAATTCTCCTTCCACATCGTAATCCCTCTCCTCCTCCCCACCTCCCCATCGTCTCCCTCAAGCCAGCAACGACTCTTCATAAGGTAAAGTACAATTGAAAACAGTAAAACAAAACATTTATAATAATTACATGTATTATAATTACATTATAAAATTTCATATTGATGTTTTGCGGGGGTGAAACAGATTAATTTATTTCCATTATTTTAAATGGGAAAATTCGTTTCATAAGATGAGCGTTTCACATGACGACATCGGTGCCGGAACGAATTAAATTCGTTAACCAAGGTTCCTCTGTACAGTATTTATAAAATCCAATATTTATTGTTATATTCTAACAAAACAAATAACGCATTAGAGGGAATGTTTAGGTCCCCTCCAATACAGTTTCGGTGTGCTTTTCTCCTACCACCCCTTCCTTTTTATTTAACAAAATCTATCATTTTGCAGAATTACAATGCCCGCACAGACTGCATGTCTTTGAAAGTAATTGTTCAATCATATTTTCTTCATATTTTATTTTGTTAGTAAATTATAAAATATATTCATCACCCTTCAGAAATGTAACTCCTTTTTGTTCAAGGAGAAATTGTTTCCATATCAATGAAAATATAAAAGCGTAATCCTCTGAGCCATTTTAGAAGCAAACCAATCATAACAAGAATAGTCAAGTCAAGCACAATATAAAACTGCATAAAGAACACTTGTGTTAGACAATAATATAACTTATATTCAACAGCCAAACCAGAGAAAGCAGAGCCGCGTGTACCTTTGGTATCTTGGAACCAGGTGGTTGGGTTGGGTGCCAGGGCAGGATTGGAGAGGAAGCGTTTCATGTCTCCCCTCTCCTCCTCCAGCAGGAGGTCATACATCGGCAGCCCACACAGGTTACTCTGAGGAACACACATCATCATCATCACCAAAAAACTAATTAATACTTACAACAAATACAAAAGCAATTATATATGGTAAACAATCTTGCATGTACTGTACTTCATATCATGATAGTCATCTACATACTGGTAATTCACCACTTAATGCATAAAATTCCTATGCACCTCCATACCTTTCAAATTGGGTTCAACATTTTGAGATTACCACAACACTAACAGTAAAAGATTGATCACGCTTCTCAATGCATATACGTAGTAATAATAATAATAATAATAATAAACAATAATAATATTTTTTATGCAAGAATTTAAACATATGACACAAGAATACTCCGTGGTGTAGTTGTAAGCCACTCGCCTGGCATTAAGCAACTTGTCATGGGTTAGTTAAGCTTTGTCATGGGTTCATATCCTGGCCGGGGAGGATTTACTGTGCGCAAATCCTTAACTGTAGCCTCTGTTTAACTCAACAGTAAATATGTACTTGGTTGTAAAAACGATTCTTCGCGGCGGGGATCGTATTCCAGGGACCTGCCCGAAACGCTACGCGTACTAGTGGCTGTACAAGAATGTAACAACTCTTGTATATATCTAAAAAAAAAAAAAAAAAGAATAGGGGAGAATTACATAGGTAAGATATGAACAATACATAAAGCTACTAATAGACAAAGTGTTTCAGGCATAACGTAAAAAAAGAAAGAGAGAATAATATACAAACTCAAAGGGGAAAACTAAATGAGATAATATAACTTTTTAAATTGTTGAAAATAGGTGGAACAAAATTATCAGTAAGAATCAGTTGACATATTTATGGAGAGGTGTTCGATAACTGTATTGGATTGAACTTGAAGTATGAAAACCATGAATCTGATACCAGTATACTGTGTATGAAATAATGTTTGATGATTTACCAATACAGTAATAGTTAACATACATGGAAGCAATGCTGACTTACCTGGGGGCATTAAGCTTAATAGGTGAAGGTTAACAGTAATACAGCATAAGGGCAAGTAGTAAATTCATAACTACACTTGAATTTTTTATATTACAAGTACCATGTGTCTTGTTTCTGGGGTCAACACAGTAAATTAAATTTTAAATTAAAATTAATTTAAATTAATTAAATTAAATAAAATTAAAATTAAATTAAATTAAAATTAAGTACTAATAACTTGCTGTGTACAATGGTAGTACAGAGGTGCTACAGTAGACATGTGTCATGTACACAGTGGGAACACCACAGTTGTCATGACAAAGCTCTTTGTATATGACAAACAACATCCATTTCCGATGGATGTAGTTTACATAGACTTTACTAAAGCTTTTGACAAGGAAACCCGAAATGCTGTGTGTATTAGTGGCTTAAGGCATAGTATGTACTAGCTCTATCTACAAATCCAACATTGTTTTTGTAACTCATCTTGTATGTATGTACTTTTACCTGAATAAACATTTGACTTGATTTGATTTGAAGGTACCGCATGAAAGAATAGCAAGGAAACTACAGTGTTGTGACATAACCTCCCATGTGGTAATGCTACCTCCCATGTGGTGACGTAACCACCCGTGTGATGTAACCTCCCGTGTGGTGACATAACGTCCCGTGTGGTGAAATAACCTCCCGTGTGGTGACATAACCTCCCGTGTGGTTATGTTACGTCCCGTGTGGTGACATAACGTCCTGTGTGGCGACATAACCTCCCGTGTGGTGACATAACCTCCCGTGTGGTGACATAACCTCCCGTGTGGTGACATAACCTCCCGTGTGGTGACATAACCTCCCGTGTGGTGACATAACCTCCCGTGTGGTGACATAACCTCCCGTGTGGTGACGTAACCTCCCATGTGGTGACATAACCTCCCGTGTGGTGACATAACCTCCTGTGTGGTGACGTTACCTCCCGTGTGGTGATGTTACCTTCTGTGTGGTGACGTTACCTTCCGTGTGGTGATGTTACTTCCCGTGTAGTGATGTTACCTTCCATGTGGTGATATAATCTTCCGTGTGGTGCCGTAACCTCCAGTGTGGTAACCTAACCTCCAGTGTGGTGACGTAACCTCCAGTGTGGTAACCTAACCTCCTGTGTGGTGACGTAACCTCCAGTGTGGTGACGTAACCTCCTGTGTGGTGACGTAACCTCCAGTGTGGTAACCTAAACTCCAGTGTGGTAACCTAAACTCCAGTGTGGTAACCTAAACTCCAGTGTGGTAACCTAAACTCCAGTGTGGTAACCTAAACTCCAGTGTGGTAACCTAACCTCCAGTGTGGTGACGTAACCTCCTGTGTGGTGAGGTAACCTCCAGTGTGGTAACCTAACCTCCAGTGTGGTAACCTAAACTCCAGTGTGGTAACTAACCTCCTGTGTGGTGAGGTAACCTCTCGTGTGGTAACGTTACCTCAGGTGTGGTGAGGTAACCTCCAGTGTGGTAACCTAACCTCCAGTGTGGTAACCTAAACTCCAGTGTGGTAACCTAACCTCCAGTGTGGTAACCTAACCTCCAGTGTGGTAACCTAACCTCCAGTGTGGTAACCTAACCTCCAGTGTGGTAACCTAACCTCCTGTGTGGTGAGGTAACCTCTCGTGTGGTAACGTTACCTCAGGTGTGGTGACGTTACCTCCAGTGTGGTAACCTAACCTCACGTGTGGTGAGGTAACCTCTCGTGTGGTAACGTTACCTCAGGTGTGGTAACCTAACCTCACGTGTGGTGATGTAACCTCAGGTGTGGTGACATTACCTCCAGTGTGGTAACCTAACCTCCTGTGTGGTGAGGTAACCTCTCGTGTGGTAACGTTACCTCAGGTGTGGTGACGTTACCTCCAGTGTGGTAACCTAACCTCACGTGTGGTGATGTAACCTCACGTGTGGTGATGTTACCTCACGTGTGGTGACGTTACCTCACATGTGGCGGCGTTACCTCACGTGTGGTGACGTTACCTCACGTGTGGTGACGTTACCTCCTGTATGGTGACGTTACCTCCTGTGTGGTGACGTTACCTCACGTGTGGTGACGTAACCTCACGTGTGGTGACGTAACCTTATGTGTGATGATGTTATCTCATGTTTGGTGACATTACCTCACATATGGTGATGTAACCTCACATGTGGTGGCGTTACCTCACGTGTAGTGATGTTACCTCATGTGGTGATGTAACCACACGTGTGGTGACATTACATCCCATCAACCCTCCCTACACACATGTAAGGCAGGAGGGTTACGCTGCTGTCAGTTGTAAGCTTATTGTACTTACCTAACAGTGACTCCAGGGATGTGTGATTTGATTCTTTACTGTTGCTTTATAATTAATAAAGATGTTGCTTTATTAATTATTACTGTACTAATTAAAATGGCCAATAGTTGATTTTGATAGTTTTTATTGTGATAGTTATGCTAGAGTTAAGTGCATGAGGAGGCACCTTTGGGTGTTTGGTGTTATGAGACTTGGCTTATATGATGTGATGTTCGTCTTTCACATGCGAAGATGGCCATGACTTCAATATATCAGGTGGAAGGTTGGTGGCTGTGTGCCAGATGAGACCAATCTGGGTCTGGGTGGCTCACCCACACACAGGTTAGCTACAATTATGTCTCTTGTGTGGGTGCTGCTGCATTGGGGAGGTTGCTCTTGCTTTACTCTGGGTCTCTGCAGTCCATCTATTTTCTGCTGCACGGGTCCCTGTGGTGACTTTGCTTCTCCAAGTTGGATGGTCCTGAGCAAACAACTCCCAAGTATTCGTGTTGATGCCCAGGTCGTTCAGGGTCACCTTGAGGCAGTCCTTGAATAGTTGCTTCTGCCCCCCAACAGAACACATGCCCTGGCATAATTCTCCATACAGCAGCTTAGGCAATCAGCTGTAAGGCATTCTGACAACGTGGCCTGCCCTTCTGGCCTAAGTTTTCTGTATGAAGGTGTAGATGCTGGGAATGCCATCCCCTTCCAAGACCTCCGTGTCTGGGATTTTGTCCTGCCATCTGATGTGGAGGAGTCAGCAGAGACAGCTCAAGTAGAAGTGATTTAGAGGTTTGGTATGTGTTGTAGACAGTCCAGGTCTTGCTGGCCTAGAGAAGGTGGTGAGTACCACTGCTCGGTAGACCTCCAGTTTGGTGGTAAGGCTGAGGCCCCTCTGCTCCCAGACATTCTCATGGAATCTTCCAACGGCAGCGCTGGCCTTGGATATCCTGTTGTTAACTTCTGCATCTATATACACCGCTCTTGAGAGTATGGTGCCAAGATAGGTGAAGTTGTCAACTGCCTGCAGGTTCTACCCCTTGACATTGATGTGTGGTTCCTGGTTGAGTATTCTGGGTGCGGGTTGGTACATGACTTCAGTCTTTTTGGCGCCGATGATGAGACTGAAGTTGTTGTAGGTTTGTGAGAAGCAGTCCATTTCGTGCTGCATCAGTTGCTCTGTGCTGGTATTGAGCAACTGCTGCTTCTTGAGCCTCGAGCTGAATTCATAGCACCACACATCAATAAATATTGATGTAAGTTCCCGTGACCTACCCATTAGATTTACTCCAGTGAATGACGGAGGTCGACAACCTAGTGATAAGGGATCTCAAACTTTTCAGGTCTCGGTGTTTGCTCGCACTTCATAACTTTTCTATGGTCTCTGGAATGGGGTCTGAACTGCTTACTACACTTAGCATGTTAGCTAAGCAGTCCTTTCCTACTGCAGCCCATCTAGACTTTCAGTTTAAAGTTTACGGATGTACTAGAATTTGCTATGAAAAATCTCACAGTTGAGTCCCATATCTGCATTGAGGAGGGAAGCAGAGCCGTAGGGCTGTGGTTCATATATAGCCTTCAGAGCATCATAGAGACACTTGGTGTCATGACTGTCTGCATAACCTGCCCGAAACGCTGCGCGTACTAGTGGCTTTACAAGACTGTAATTACCATATTATGTATCCTCACATTCCCAATGTACATTCTTGTATATGCATAAATAAATAAATAAATAAATAAATAAATAAATAAATAAATAAATAAACCTTGGATTTATCAGCCTTCTTGCTAAACCATGCATCCTGCACCTCACAGTTTCCTTTGCACCGTTCTTTAGGTTGAGCTCTGGCTCTTTGGTCCCACCTCTCAACCGTCAATCAACTGGTGTACAGGTTCCTGAGCCTACTGGGCTCTATCATATCTACACTTGAAACTGTGTATGGAGTCAACCTCCACCACATCACTTCTTAATGCATTCCATTTGTCAACGACTCTGACAATAAAAAAAGTTCTTTCTAATATCTCTGTGGCTCATTTGGGCACTCAGTTTCCACATGTGTCCCCTAGTGCATGTGCCCCTTGTGGTAAATAGTCTGTCTTTATCTACCCTATCAATTCCTTTGAGAATCTTAAACGTGGTGATCATATCCCCCTAACTCTTCTGTCTTCCAGCGACGTGAGGTTTAATTCCCATAGTCTCTCCTCGTAGCTCATACCTCTCAGCTTGGGTACTAGTCTGGTGGCAAACCTTTGAATGTTTTCCAGCCTCTTGATATGGGCTGCAGGGGACAGGTCTGGCGTGATGTTAACCCCCCAAGTCTTTTTCTTTCTCTCTGAACTCTTGAAGAATTTCATCTCCCAAATGATACCTTGTATCTGGCCTCTTGCTCCGTACACCTATCTTGATTACATTACATTTGCTTGGGTTAAACTCTAACAACCATTTGTTCGACCATTCCTTCAGTTTGTCTAGGTCTTCTTGAAGCCTCAAGCACTCCTCCTCTGTCCTTCTCATAATTTTGGCATCGTCAGCAAACATTGAGAGAAATGAGTCTATACCCTCCCGGAGATCATTTACATATATCAGAAACAGGATAGGACCGAGTACAGAGCCCTGTGGGACTCCACTGTTGACTTCACGCTAATCTGAGGTCTGACCCCTCACTGTAACTCTCTGCTTCCTATTGCTTAGGTACTTCCTTATCCATTGGAGCACCTTACCAGTTACTCCTGCCTGTCTCTCCAGCTTATGTACCACCCTCTTATGGGGTACTGTGTCAAAGGCTTTCCGACAATCCAAGAAATGTAGGGTGGCTGCAGGGTCTCAAATTTCTTGGAAATGTCATTTCTAAAAAATGATATGTGATGTAGGGTCATTCTTGTGTGCAATTAACAGGTGATACTTATTTTACAGCAATACTTGTATCGCCTCATCCTTTTCGTCAAGCCAGTCCTGGTTTCTGCAGGTTGTTGGTCCCAGGTGCTCAAGGGCAGTAGAGTAGACTGCATCTCTGAAGGCTGCCCACCTCACCTCAATGCTGTCTTGGCCATTCTGGGGTGTCTAGCATCCTGCCTTGTACGTCGCTGAAGAATCCTTCAGCAACTTTACTACTCTTCAGCTTAGAGACACTGAGTCTCTTTACAGTCTTCTGACCTTGGGGTCTTCTCATGCACAGGATGCGATGTTTGCACTTGGATACTATGGGGCAATGGTCAGTCCAGCAGTCGGTACCACACATGGACGTCACTCTCCACCACACATGGACGTCACTCTCCACCACACATGGACGTTACTCTCCACCACACATGGACGTCACTCTCCACCACACATGGACGTCACTCTCCACCACACATGGACGTCACTCTCCACCACACATGGACGTCACTCTCCACCACACATGGACGTCACTCTCCACCACACATGGACCACACATGTCCACCACACATGGCCTTAGTCACTCACGGCCTGCCTGTCTTTTTTGCTGATGACATAATCAATCAGATCCCAATGCGTAGAGCATGGGTGCATCCATGATGTTGCTGGTGGGAAGGATAAGAGAGTGTTGGTGACAATGAAGTCGTGTGTAGGACACAATGTGAGGAGCAGAAGGCCTTTGCTGTTGCACTTGCCAGTGCCATGTCTTCCAGTGATCCCTTCCTAGGTACAGAAGTCTCTCCTACTCTCGTGTTGAAGTGCCCGAGGATAATAAGCTTCTCTGAATTTAGGATGGCTACAATGAGGTTGTCGAGTTCCTCATAGAATTTTTCCTTCATGTCATCTGGGTTGGTCATGGTCAGGACATATGCACTGATCAGTGTTGTACTCCTCTTGCTTTTAAGCAGGAGCTGGAGCTTGGCTTATATACAGTGCTAAAGGCTTATAGATTGTAAGAACACCAATGATATGTACTCTCACAAACCCAATATATCTTCTTGTATATAAATAAATAAATAAATGCAGGCGATGCGTCACAATAACACGGCTAAGGTATGTTGACCAGACCACACACTAGAAGGTGAAGGGATGACGACGTTTCGGTCCGTCCTGGACCATTCTCAAGTCGATTGAGAAACGTTGTCGTCCCTTCACCTTCTAGTGTGTGGTCTGGTCAACAAATAAATAAATATCTAGCTAGAGTGTGGTGTTGATGACTCGGTTATAAGGACTTAGATCATGTCAAGCATTAAGATTCTTGTTACATTTTACAGCCTTTATGATAAGTTTGGTTATGTCAAGCACTGCCAACCTTGGCTGTGACTGTTTAATCTGCCATATATATACACACAAGGGAGATGGAAACTTACAGGTAAATGTCCTAAGAGAGGAGTGATGGACTCGGAGGTGTAGAGGACCCGGCCGGAACAAGAGACAGTCATGATGAAGCCGTCCAGAGCCTGAAGAGTAGACCACACTAACATCCACACACCAGACAGTAACACACATCATAAACACACAAACTTTGCCCTTAAACACATGAAAAATAATTTAATTGGCATTAATACCTGACAGCTTCATTTATCCCAATCTTATAATCTGGAAATAGTTAAGTGTGACCACCAAATTACCAAAAATCCCACTCGCAAATGTTTAAGACTTTCACACGTGGTTAAATGAAGGTAACTGCAGATGGCCTATTGGCACATACGAGGCAGCTCCTATTTATATCCATGCAATCTCATTCATATATATGTCTAACCTACGCTTGAAACAATCAAGGGATCCTACTTCTACTATGTTACACGGTAATTGGGTTCACAAATCAACAACCCTGTTACCGCACCAGTATTTACCAAGATCTTGAGAGATCTTTGTTATGGTCATTTATCCACTTGTACACCTCTATCATGTCACCCCTTGTTCTTTGCCTTTCCAGAGAATGTAATTTAAGCTTTGTCAATCTTTCTTCATATGAAAGGTTTCTAATTTGTGGGATTAACTTCATCATCCTACGCTGGATGTGTTCTAGTGACTTTATATCCATTTTATAGTACGGCAACCAAAACTGAGCTGCATAACTTAAATGGGGCCTAACCAGAGCAAGATATAGCTGACGAACAACACCAGGTGTCTTGTTACTAACACTTTGATTAATAAATCTGCCTCTGCCTCAGTACTGCCTCTACTGTTGACCACATCTGGACTAACATAACCTCTCCACTTACTTCCAGGGATAATCATTGATAGGACCACAGACCATTACCTCTCATTTCTCCTAACCAACATTAATAAACCACTTCTAGATACAAGGAAGATAAACTTTAGGCTGTACAATGAAACTTCTATAAGCAACTTTATTGCTGCTGCTGCTAATATTAACTGGGAGGCTGAATTAGGTGACATAGTGATCATCAACCTAGCAGTGCAAACATTTCTTCAGAAAACTCTGAACCTTTATAACTCCCACTGTCCAATGCTAACGAAAGAAGTTACAAATAAAAGGTTAAACACTCCATGGCTTAAAAAAACCAGCGTTGAATGTAATGAAACGCCATTTTCTGGGTGAGTCCCGGAGGCTCCCCGGAGCTATCCATGGCTGATATGGATATCCTAACTATTTTGCATCAGTCGATGTGGGTGGAGTTCTAGGCCTACCGGGGACCACGAGCCAGAACCTGGCCCCCTCACAGAGGCACGGGGAGCAATGGCCCATAGAATGCACATGTGATTTGGAGCATTCCATATCTGCCATCGACCGGGACAGGCACCCAGAAAGGTAAGCGCCCCAAAACAAACCCCTATTCTGGTTAACAACAAAAATTGACAAACGAGTGGACAGAACTCCCCAAAAGAAAAACGAGCAAACCAGCATGACGTCACACGAGCCGCGCCGCATGTCTGCGCAGCTCCCCCCTCCCCGGGAGGGGGAAGGGGGAGCCCCAGACCCCCGAGCCGGCGATCCACACCCCAGTTCTGAGGCTGGACATCAAAAACCGCGAAAAACCGCCGACCGGAGGGCGGGAGGGATGCCGGGGAGCCTCCGGGACTCACCCAGAAAATGGCGTTTCATTACATTCAACGCTGGTTTTCTGGGGGGAGCCCCTGCGGCTCCCCGGAGCTACCTCACCAAAGACTACCAAGAAAACCAAGGGCACTTACCCGGGAGGCGGTCGGTGCTCCACACCTCAAGACGAAGCCGAGACCACGGGCCGCAACCGCCGACCTAAGGCAACACAGGCCCGACTGGGCCCAGGAACGTTAACAAGGTAGCGTGCAGCCAGGACCCTGTTCGACCGCCAAAATCCCCGTGCCCGAATGTCAGCCCAAGACATATTGCCGAAGACGGCAGCAAGAGCAGCGAACTTACGAACGTCATGGGCACGGGGATAGACCGCAGGCTGGCTGGATTTAATAACCCTGCGGACGACCTGAGAGACCCGAACCCGCGAACAGGGAAGAAGGGAAACCGGATCAACCCAAAGCGCGTCCCCGGACACTGAAGCCGTGGCGCGCAGATAACGGCGGAGGGCCGCAACCGGACACAACACATGGTGAACCCCCGGCCTGACAAACCACGCATCAACAACCCAAGGACCCCTCCGGAAAGCAGCAGTCTCATTCTTCGCCAGAAAAGAGGGAGACGGCTGCAAACGAACAAACCGAAGACCACGACCAAAGGAGCAAAAACCTCTGCGCCGGAGAAGAGCATGAAGCTCCGCCACACGACCCCCAGAGGCTAATGCCAACAGAAAAAGAGCCTTAGCAAAGCAATCTTGAACCGAAGGGGCCACCACAAAACGAGGAGTGGAAAGATAGAAGAGCACTCTGTCCAAGGACCAGGACGGCTCAGGCGGCGCATGAGCAGGCCGGAGGTGAAACAACGCCCGAGACAGCTTGCGAAACGGCGCAGAAGTAACATCAATACCGAAAGCAAGCTGCAGCGGCTCTGCCAGCGCCGCACGATACGAGGCGACAGTATTAGGCATCAGATGACGGTCCGGAAACAACCAAGAGAGAAAGGACAACACCACCCGAACCGAAAGCGAGGAGCAACGACGAAGGGTCAAAAAGAACCGGAAGGACCGCCAGGAAACTTCATACTGCCGCCGAGAGGAAACTCGCAGGTGAGAAACCAACAAGGAAGCCACCTGCTCACCATAAAGATGGTGATAAACACGAGTCAAAAACACCAAACGCGAAGACTCGCAGAGAAGAGCGAACCAGTCTCGTACCGGACCGGCCCGATCTCGTGAAAGAGGCGGAGCCGCGGAAAAACCCCCGGGGTTCGGACACCGAGCAAGCAGCGCCTGAAACCACGGCTGGGCCGGCCACCAAGGGGCCAAGAGGACCACAAGACCCTGGTAAGTCTCCAAGCGAGCCAAGACCTGGAGCAGCAGCCGAACCGGGGGAAAGAGGTACAGGAACCCCCACCTCGACCAGTCCTGCCGAAAGGCGTCGATCCCGACGGCCTCGCAGTCGGGGAAGGGCGCCACGTAAACCGGAAGACGCCTCGACCACGCCGACGCGAAGAGATCCACCTCCGGGCGCCCGAACGTCCGGCAGAGCCAACGGAAGGAGCCGGCATCGACCGTCCATTCCGTGGACAGGGGAACGAACCTGGACAGGCCATCCGCCAGGACGTTGGACACCCCCTGGACGTGAACTGCCAGGAGAGCCAAACCCCGAGAACTCAGCAGACGAGTCACCCGAAGCGACCAACCCCAAAGAGCCAAGGACCGCATCGAACCCCCTCGGTTCAGACAATGAACCACTGGGGAGCAGTCCGAATGGAGCCGGATCGTCGATCCGCGGGCGACCCGAATCCTCCGAAGCGCAAACCATACCGCCGCAAACTCCCGCACCGTGCTGTGGACCCGACGGAAGGACGGACCCCACCGTCCCTGGCCGGCCTGGTGAGCACTGGTCACAAAACCCCAGCCTAGAGACGACGCGTCCGTGAACACATCGAGCGAGGGCTCGGGTAGGCGCCAAGGCACTGAACCCCGAAAAACCCGAAGAGGAAGCCGGCGACGCAGCAGCCGACACAAAGCCCCCGGGGGTCGAACCCAGCGATCGCGAGAGAGGCGGAAGGGACGTCCCCGAAGGAACCAGAACAGCCGACGAAGCCAAACCCGACCCGGCGGGTAGACCAACATCGCGAAGTTCAGGCTGCCGCACAAACTCTCGAGCAACCGCCGGGTGACCCGAGAGCCCCCCAGAAACAGACCCAGGCGAGACCGCAGCCGAAGGAGAGACTCCGGAGGAAGAGACAAGGAAGCGGTCCGAGAGTCCCACACAAGACCCAGCCAGGACCGAACCTGGGAGGGCACCAGATGGGACTTCCGCCAGTTCACCAGGAACCCGAACCCGGCGAGCTGGGAAAGCACCAAATCCCTGGCAAGCAGACACGCGGACCGACTGGGAGCCCAAACCAGCCAGTCGTCGAGGTAAGCCAACACCCGAACACCTAAGAGACGCAGACGGGCCACCACGACCCGGGTAAGGCGTGTGAACACGCGAGGTGCCAGGTTCAACCCGAAGGGGAGACAACGAAAGCGGTAGCACTGACGCCCCACAACAAAACCGAGCCAGTCCCGGAACCCCACATGAATAGGGACGTGCCAATACGCGTCCTTGAGGTCCAGGGACACCATCCAAGCGCCCGGCTCCAACAGAAGCCGGACCTGGGACAGAGTGGTCATCCGAAACGAGGGGCAAGAAACCCAAGGGTTCAGACGGGACAAGTCCAGAATGAACCGCAGGTCCGCACAGTCCCGTTTCGGAACTGGAAACAGGCGGGAAACCCACCTGAGGGACGGAGTCGTTTCGACCACGCCCAAGCGCACCCACTCCAAGATGACCTGACGGAGCGCAGGAGAGGAAGCCTGCCCCGTCAGCCCCGAACCCCCAGCAGGAGGCGGAGCCACCCAACGCCACCTCAGGCCGCGAGAAACGACCCGAAAAGCCCACAAATCGTGAGACCAGGCGTGAGCGAACAGAGACAGCCTCCCCCCCATCGCCCCGTCAATGGGGCGAACCGCGAAAGGGCCGCTGCCCCTTACGAGAACCCGACCTGCGCGCAGAGCGAACACTGCGCCGACCAAGCACAGGTGGGACCGCAGGCGGCACCGGCACCGAACCCGACACCTGTGGCCCACCCCGACGAACGGAACCGCGCGCCCTGGTACGACCCCGCCGGGAAGGAACCCCCCGGTTCCCCCGGAGAACCAACAACTCAGACATAGGGCGGCAAGAGGAAGAAGCCGCCTGAATATAACGTTCTACCGCAGAAGCCTCAAAAAGCAGAGGACAAAAGGGAGAAGACAACCTAAGAACCAGGGCCCAAGCGGATTCCAAAGAGGAAGCCAGGACCGCCTGACGACACGCGAAGCGCGCAGCGAAAAACCGCAGCAACGCCTCCCGCAGGATAGGCGCAAAAAGCTTCAACATGGCAGAC